TTTCTCAACCTAATTGTAAGTGCACATGTCACACCTTTGAAATTTTGAGAGATATCAAAAAGTTGTCAACTGACAAAATTTTTATCATAAGATCATTAATATTTTAACAGTTGACACATTTTTGATATCTCTCTTTGGAACCGAGATAATTGAGCTTAAAGTTGACAGTTAGGGTGGGCTTCTATTACAGGAAATAATGTATATCCTTAAAGCGTCTTAAATTTTCAGAAGGAAAATTTTTTAAAATTTTTTAAATTATGATAAGAATCGAAATTCCAGCTTCTCAAAAAAGTTTGAAGTTGAGGAAATATTGAAATTCCAAAAAAAAAAACTGAAAAATGTCGAAGTTTTGAATTTTCCCGAATTCGAAGCAAATAATTAGGAAGTTTTAGGAATTCAGAAATTCAGAAATTATCAAAATTCCGAAATCCTAAAAAGATTATTGGGAATTCCTTCATACCTACAATTAAATATTTAGCAGGCCAATGTCGCTATCCTGCCGAGTAGGGATTTTGGGCCTGCTAGACTACAAACTACAGAAAAATAATTAGCAGACCCAAGTAACAGTTTTCTTTGCACTATCCATTTTTGCTCAAAAATGAGATATTGAGATTCGAAAAAAATTATATTGAGATTCGGAAAAAATGAGATATTGAGATTCGTATTATATGGTTTTCAAACTCGCTGAATTTCATTTTTTCAGAAATTTCGAATTTTTCGGAAATGTTTTGAATTTTAAATGTTGGGGAATTTTTGAGCTTCTGAAATTTAAAAAAAATTCAGAATTTCCAACTTTTTCAATTTTCAATAGTGTAGTTTGTAGTCTAGCAGGCCAAACTACAAAATTTAAAACTCATAATCAGCGGACCACTTTTTTTCTGAAATTCCAAATTTCAAGAATTTCAAGAATCACAAAAAATTAAAAAAGAGAAATTTCTAGTTTTGATTTTCATAAAATTCAAAATTCCGAAAAATCGAAAAAAAAATGTTGGTTCGCTAATTATTTTTGTGTAGTT